AGGATGGTACGCACGTTCTGCAACTGGGCCAAGGGCTTGACGCTAGCAGAGGTTCCGCCATAGGCACCATTAGAATACACGGTTCATGGTGGCTTTCTGCCGCAGCGTGTGCTAAACTTGAAGACTGTTCTGGACACGGTATCTCTTCCATATGCTCTTAACATCTTTACTCTGACAAATTTAAAGACAACCTGAGGATTTACTTACTTACAGAGGCAACGTGAAAAACTGAAAAATCTTTTCTCTTTTGTGTTTTTGTTTTATTGTTGGGTGGGAAAGGTGTCCCACTAGACAGGGTAACCTTCAGTGCCACAGATACAACCTCTTTCCAGACTGCAAATGATTTCTGTAACTCCAGTGTGTGAGCTTGAATTATGCAAGTAGAGGAGGGGGCGGTAAAAGCTTTCCTGTAGCAGAAACAAAGAGGGGGGAGAAAAAATTCTTGGAAAGCTTCTAGACCAAATTGTTCTATACGTTGCCGGCTTAAGTAGCCACTTTATTTGATCCCTCCTAGCTGTTCCTGCATTTCTTGCATCCTCTCCTTTCCCTTCCACTTTCTCGCCGAGCATATGCAGGTTAAGGATCATGGGTGGTGATACCTCTGGGAGGGAGGTACCTGGGAGGAAGGTCATCAAAAGAGATGCAAGGTGAGGACAGATATCAAATTAATTACATTCAATAAAGTAATTAATAGTAAATTTAATTTTAAATTAAATTTTAAAAGTTTTTAATTGAAGATTTTGATATCTGTTATACGTAATGACCAGGGACCAGGTTAGTTATTCAGCAATCCTAGGGGTTAAGAGAGAGCTCGGAGACAGAGACCAAAAGAAAAATCATAGCTTTGCTTTTGAGGAAAGAAAATTGGTTTTGGAATAACTGAAATCTCTGAAGGATCTGTACTAAAGGCTAGTTTTAAACTTGGGTATACTAAAATATATCCCGTTCCAAATACAAGGAAAAACCCGCTTCAGATCTTAAGTGCAGTCCTCTTGGAGAAAAGGCCTTTGCAATTGATCTCAGCTTCTGGCTCCAATGCTTTTAGATTACTCTTTCAGAAACCTCTTCTCATGGGCGTGAGCTCACAGAAGGTCTTGTGCATGGGGACAAGGGTGGGCTTTGTAAGGGTGCCTCTGTTTGGGGACCTCAAGAATACTGAACAAGGTGTTGGTCAGATACTGTCCTTGCCCAATAAAATATAAAAACAGTAGAAAAGAATTAGTAACTGACTGACTCTAGGTGCGGCTACGTCTCATAAGCTTAGCTCTTGAGACTAAATAGGCAAAAGAGTTACTAAGTTGCAAAACCGGACACATCTTTTTTTTTTTTTCTGATACATCTTTGAGCGGCAGGTGTGCATCTGTCACGCTAACATTCTGAATGCCCAACAATTCTGTTAAGTCTGAATCTCCCTGCCAGACTTCATGACACAGCTATTAATATACAGAATCAACCAGAAACAAATCTGAGCAATGCAGACCAGGATTTATGGACGTGTTAATTACGGCATTATTTATAAAATTAAAAAAAATAGGAAGTTAAATGCCTAACACATAGGCACGTGGTTCAGTTAGTTCATATCTACATTACACAGCCATTAAGAACCATGTCTCTGAGGAACATTTACTGACAAGAAGAACACTCATGGTATAATGAGAAATCAATAAGGTACAAAATGGAAGACACTGTGATCATATTTATCGGTTCATTTATTTATGGTTTTTTCCCCTCTGGTCGTATGCATGCACGTGACTGGGAAGAACTAAGATAAAATACTGATGGTGACTATCTCTGAGTAATGAGATATTAGCTTATTTTTCTCTACCTTTGTATATACTTTTCTGTCATTTTCCAGTTTCATACAAACCTTTTCCTTTTCCAATAAAATATATTGCTTTAAGAAAGCAATTGTTAATTCTCACAAGAACACCTAGCTAAGCCAGCACCAGTCCACTATATAATTATTATTAATAAATGATAATATACACAGCTCCTATCCCTGCATGTGAACAATCATGGTGAAAATAATCAATATGTCTCAGTCAGTAACCTCTGGGCCAGAAGCTTTAAAGCTCATGATCTGCATTAAAATTCATCCTGTCAGAGCACTACCTACTATACTGAATATTCTGGTATTGATGCATGAAAAGGGGATTGATACTTGTCAAGGACGTACTCTGGGCCAGGTGTTCATACATGGGGTTTCGCTTGGTACGCTTCTGGATGAGGAAACTGAAGTTCAAAAAGGTCAAATCACTGACTCTGGCCACATGACTCCTCAGTGATCAAAATGGATTCAAACCCTCTCAGTCTGGCTTGAAAGCCCCCTCTCCTTTCACCACCACAGGGCTGGTGAAAACTTCAGATGACACGTAGACTTCATTTCAGACATTTAAAAATATCTTAAAATATTTTGCTAGCGCTCCGACCGTGTGGCCAAAATAACTGACCTTTGTTTCTTTTCTTTCACACAACCTAGTGGAGGTGCTGGGGAAACTACCCAAAGGAGACAACCTGACAGACAGAAAAGAGAAGGACAGGTGAATAATCCACCTACTGGGAAACGCTCGAAAGAAAAGGCAATTTTTTAGAGTTGCACAAACTAGCCTAGCCCTCTGCTCGGTGAGGGAGGAGGCGGCCAGCTGAGATGTCGGGCAAGTGCTACCAGACTCCATCAGTCCACAAATCTCTCCCCGAACCCGCCCCAGCGGGCAAGGTGCTGCTCCTCTCTCCTGCTTGGCCTGACTGAACCCCATTTCTCAACCATCATTTTTGGGGGTTGATTACAAAGCACACGTCATGGATTCTAGAGAGGTTTTTTTTTTTTTTTGCGGTACGCGGGCCTCTCCCTGTTGTGGCCTCTCCCGTTGCGGAGCACAGGCTCCGGACGCGCAGGCTCAGCGACCATGGCTCACGGGCCCAGCCGCTCCGCGGCATGTGGGATCTCCCCAGACCGGGGCACGAACCCGTGTCCCCTGCATCGGCAGGCGGACTCTCAACCACTGCGCCACCAGGGAAGCCCTAGAGAGGTATTCTTAAACGTTAAAAACTTTCCTCTAAGAGAGGACGACAGACCTTAAAGATGATCTCTTTTCACTCTTTCCACTTCACAATATATACCTTTTGACATTTCTCAAGAAAGAGCCTACAGACTAGATATTGTGTCAGGCCTATCTTTCCACGTAGCACCTAACTGAATTCAATCAGCAGATGAGTTTGTAATCCTAACAACATCCCATGTAGTTAGAACCTCACAATTACAAAGGGCTTCCACATCAGTGATGTCATTTGCTTCTCACAGTAAACCTGAAGGAAGGAAAGGGAGGTAATGTCACCCCCATTTTACAGATCAGGAAATTGAGACATACTGCCACTTGGTCTGGCTTATTGGATTAGACAGCAGCTTCCTTGGGAGGCACAGAGGGGCTGACTCTGAGGGGGGGGGGTGCATATGAAAGCTTCAAAGCGTGGCAGTAACGTGTCTCTGGAAAACAGGATCCTGAAAAGGGGTTTTCGGGTAAGGATGGGGTAATGAAATACTGGAGCGGGAAGACAAACTCTACTTAGGTCACACTGTTGCCTGTGGAGAGCTCTGGGTGAGTGGCTTCCTTCCCTAACTTTCTGCTTTCTCAGTCCTATCTATTCTTCAAAGCCAAACCCAAATCCCACAGATCCAGGAGCCGTTCTTGAGTATCTAGCACAGAGAGACCATAATAACAGCACCTTAAGATTTCCATGTGCCTTAGCTCATTACATCATGATAAGCTTTTGAGGTAGGCTGCAGAGTCAGTTTTACAAATGGAGAAAATGAAGCCCAGCGGGGTTCAGTAACTTGTCAAGCTGACACGGCTAATAAGCAGCCAAGTCTGGATTTCAAACTGCATCAAATCACAGCGGCCTCACCTTCCTGTACATGTATCCCATCTTGTATATTGCCTGCCCACGTCTCCCTTAGTTCATCAGCCTTTGGTTGTAAGTTCTTTGAGGGCAGGCACCAAGCCTTATATTTCTTTCTAACCACCCCCTCCCACAGTTAGCAGAGCCCCATGTACACAGTAGGTTCTCAATAAGCATCGTATGTTAAATATCTATTTGGTAGGAACAGTAGTTATTAAGAGGGATTTTTTGGTACTCTGAATGTCAGGGTCTCTGCTGTATATAATTAAAACAAGAGTGAACGTGGAATGTATAATTTCTCCTCGCTCTAGCTTAATCAGGCATTCATTACCATGTCTGATTCTGTGTTATGTGGAAAGAACGGCTTAGTTAAGCATTTTCTATGAAGAGGATAGTCAAATACATACAGATATCAAAGAGATTTTTAAAAAAGGCGAAAACAAAACCATCCAACATATGGAGAGACAATGATCTACATGGCGTACTGTTTCACCTGAGACTAAAGAACTTCCAAGGCAAAGAGAGTACTTGACTAATACTGGGAAATTCAAGGTACACCAAGGAGGAAGCAGAGTGCCAAGTGGGATCCTGTACCATTAGACTCTGTCTCAAGAGGACGGATGCTCTATGCAACCGATCGGGGTCAGAAACAGAGAAAGGTACGCTTTCAAGGGCTTTTCTGGGAGAAGGGGTTTGCTTTGAAACCTCTTCAGCATAGCAGCCATTTCACTACCCTCTTCATTGCCAGGCAAACTTAATAAAAACACATGCAGTATACAATTTATTACCCTGTTGGGTCTCATTCCATTTGCCCTCCCAACACCTCATTGGTCTATAGCTTTGAAAATATAAAGGGCTCGAATAAATTCACTGAGATGAGAATTTTTATGATAGAGCTTAGCTCAAGTACTCCTATGTCCACATCTGGTAACCTAAGCTAACAGTACCTACCATATTTTATTGCCAAACCACACATTAGTCATCTTAATAAGCCGCTGAGACGCAGAGCTTCTGACTTCCTTTGTGTTAAAAAGTGCCACGTTCTCGTGGGCTTTCAACCAACACCAAGCAAGAAGAGCAAACACCAGGTTTGTGGTACCTACATTTGTGTCCTCATGGCTGTGGCCATTGGTCTCGACCAACTCCTTGGTACCCTTCAACTGCAGATTTTAAGAAAAAACAAAACAAAAAAACCCAAATGAATAAGTAAGCATTATCTACTAAGTGTATGTCATCCTGTTAACCCTGATTTATCTGAGGCTGCCCTTTATGAAACTTCCAACAAGAAAAACAGATGGAGCACATAATTCTAACGAGTCTTCCTGAAGCCAGTTTGAGACCAATATTTTACGAAACCTGATGGCTGGCAAGAAATAAATGGGCCTTGGTCATTATTTTTAAATAATAAAATTAGAAAGCAGTTCCACAGGCATAAAATGCATAAAATTCATTCTTAAGAATAATAAATGATTCCATTTCCTCGTTGTATTGCTATTAACTTCAACCCGGCAGTGTTTGCAAGTTGCCACCAGCTAAATGATGTTATATAACAATTATTCGAGAATTATGTTATTTCCCCTTGTTTTAACATGCCGCAGTGCTACTGTATGTGTCCTCCTTGAGAACCTATTTGAATGACTGACATGGTTTCTGGAGGTCTAAAACAAGACGATTTGCTTCTTTTTGGAAAGGAAGAATTGGGAACACATCTCCTTGGTCACTGAGGCATCAGAAGAAAAGCTATCTCTCAAACGAGATTTTTAACAGTGAACATCTGAAAATGCCTCTCCCTCAGAAGGCTTAGGAGTCATCAGTTATCGGGAGATTTCTGGAAACCTTTAATTGGCATGTTATCCTAGCCTGACTTGAAGCAGACACATGAAGACAGAGAATAAGGGCAAAGGGGAGCGGGCCTTGCAGCTGTTTGCTGGTATTTCTTCCTGGCCTGTTATGCTTAGGAAGCAGCATCTTCTACATCCTCTTTTTTATGCCTAAAATATTCATGGTGGGATATAAATGCGTCAAGTTTGAAAGAGAATAAATGCACCACCAATGTGTTTGATTCAAATGTTGGTTCTTTCGGGCTTTTGGTACACGTTAACATGAAAGCTTCTTTGATTTTTGTCAGGCGATCTCAGACTCCCAGCAAGAAAACCACACGCTCTCCATGCCAAGAGAGAGGCTCTGCCAAAGCAACGGCGCCATGGAGGAGCTGAGTATGGGGCAGCTGGCTGTGGGCCAGTGGGGCAGGTTAAGACTCACCTCCACATCATGCTCCTGCTTGAGAAAGAGGCATGCTGCCCTGTGTTCTCTGGGGCTACACCACTGATGCTTCTACACATAACAAAGACAAGGGAGCACAGGCAATGTGTGATACACACGAGAAGAAAAAGTGCGCCTCAGTGACAGCAGTGCCATCTGTTATCAGAGGGCACAAAGGGACTTAAAAATCCCTCTCTGTTTTCCTGTCTTAAGGTTTTCTTTTCATAGGTGTCCCTCATCTTCTCCTTTTCGTCAACCCTCTCTGCTTGTCCCACCTTGTAACTCGTGCTTCTGGGAGTGAAGAGCGGGGTTGGCTCAGAAGAAGGTTTTGTTACTTCTGCCCTCAATGGCCTGGCTCCCTGCTCTCTCCGGAGCTGCTGGTCTCCTCCAGACGGAGGGGCTGACATCTTGTCTGAGGATACCTGGGCTTGGGAACAGGCTCCAGGTGTTGGAAGCTACCACCTCTGTGAAGGACATGAAAGGCAGGAGCCAGTGGGGCCTGGTGGGACCTGGTGAAGCTGCATCTCAGCAAACAGAGAGCTTAGGGAATGAGCCTGCCTTCCCTGGGCTGAGGGCTACGCACGGTAAGGGTCTGCCCTCACAACCTGTTCCTTCTTTTCAGGATTTCCATCAAGTGGCAGTCACGTTAAAGAGCAAAATTCCACGTCTTCAGAGCAGGATGTGTCTTTTCCTGTGTGTGTGCGCGTCTATATAATACAGTAAGTCCCCTACATACGAACGAGTTCCGTTCCAAGAGCGCGTCTGTAAGTCCAATTTGCTTGTAAGTCCAACAAAGTTAGCCTAGGTACCCAGCTAACACAATCGGCTATATAGTACTGTACTGAACTGTAATAGGTTTATAATACTTTTCACACAAATAATACATAAAAAACAAACAAACAAAAAATAAAGAAAACATTTTTAATCTTACAGGACAGTACCTTGAAAGGTACAGTAGTACCAGCTACGTCACGGCTGCTTTTACGCTTGCTTCCGGACATCCTGGGCTTGAAATAAAGATACTGCACTGCTGCACTCAGTGCTGTAGAGTAAAGTACGCAAAAGCACGACCACTTGTAGAGGACGCACGCACGTGACAATGTACGCCAGACATGTGAACTGACTTATGTGATTGGACAGGCGAACGCACATTTACATCTTCGAAAGTTCTCAACTCGAAGGTTCGTATGCAGGGAACTTACTGTAGTAAGAGTCTAGGCCCAATCAAATCTCTGGGGGTGAGGCCATCTGTTTAGGCCCTGTCTATGCAGGCACTGAAAAGGTGTTTGCACGTATAGCTACTCTACACAAGTCCAAAGAAAGCTTTCTAAGGCATTGTTCAGAGAGGCAGAGGTGTGTTTTTAAATGTATGTCTGTGTGTGGCGGGAAGCTACAGGGAGATGGAAGGAACGTGTCCACTGCCTGCTCTCATCTACAAGGATGACAGGGGCACCGGGCAAGGGGCTCTCGGGAAAACAGTCTGGTGGCGAACAGCACCCAAATGCATTTGGCTGCTGTGGGCTCTCTTAAGCTTATGTATTCTCGGTGCCTTTGCTTGAAAAGGAGCCATCCCATTACTACAGCAGATTTAAAAATGCTTCCTTTCCAGTCATATTTCCTAGGTTTTTAATGATTTTAGTTGTTCTGAATCGTGTTCATGTTCCCCATTTATCTTTTTTTTTTTTAGGTAATGGAGAATGAAGTGTGATGCTTTACCAAAGCCTGTGTACGCGCATTGCTCTTTAAAAACGCATGCCATGACGACAAGGATATAGCAATGAATTCTGCAAAACTTAGCATCTATTTTTATGACTGGAGTTTGGATTTTGAATCAAAATAAAGGATTTGAGTCATTTAGAGAAAGGAATTCACCCCTCCTCATCCCAGTAAATCAAGGAGGCAGAGAGAGAAAATGTAAAACAACAAAGCTCAGAGCTATGTCTGTCCGATCAGGAGCAAATCTGGACCAAATCAGCTCTACTTTGTTGAAAGCCTTTGAATAATGTAAAAGAAGAAAGAACAGTGACTGCAGGTCTCTTAGACAGTAGGTCATTGTGAATTTAGTGATCAATATTTTTTCAGTTCAATCTAACTTATCCAAAATCATATAATGTAAGCCTCAGTCTAAGTTACTGAATCTATCTTAATCGTATAAAGGTAACGATTAGCTTTAGAAAGCATTTTCCTCCAAAGCTATAAAAGCTTATAAACTATCTAACATCTTCACTTTTCCCTCACAATTCACTTATACTTTTAGGGGAAAGTGACTGACAATATATTTTGAGTCCAAACCATTAAAAGGTTAAAAATCACTTGGAAAGTGACTGAGTCACAGCTGACTAGGCTCATACTCTTCCAACTTCATAGTTTTTTTTAAAAAAATATCACTTTTGAAGTTATATATGTTGTACAGAGGACCTCCTCATATACCACTGTGAGTGAAAATTTTAAAGCAACCTAAATTTGACTACCCCCAAAGGGCTACGGGCACTATACGTGATTTTTTTTTCCCCCTTCCATTTGCCATTCATTACATCATGGGCAGCATGTGAAGGCCAGAAATAGGAAAGCATTTCAAGAGCTTTCTCAGCTTCTCGCGTGTAGATACTGGGCTTAGATTTCACTCAGCTGCCGAGCGATCCATCTCACCCTGCTGTAAGACGATAGTTTCAAATCTACTTATCAATGTCAGGCCACACTTTAGTATCAAAGAAAGCCAGGATGAAACGTTCAGATTTACAAACTTCATATGAAAGGTCTGTTGCTCACCCTGGTTAGATAAGCGCCCTGACGCACAGGGGAGAGATTTTTTTAAATGTCGCTATGAATCAGTCCTTCTGATCCAGGTGTCTGCAGGAGGATTGTGGGCTGTGCTAAACTCATTTTCCTTGCGATTAGACTTAAAAGGAAACTAGCTGCTTGCTGTGAAATTTATCTGCATTGCCAATGTTTTAAAACTTTATCGAAATTCACTTGTCTTCTGGAAGAAACGTTCACACATCGCTGGGGGGCTTGGGTGGTCTAAAGAGGTACCAGAGTGAAAACAGAGATGCTGCACATGAGATTATAAATTCTACCCAGCAAAGCTGCTAAGAGGTGGGGAGGGTCCAGGCTGGTCACTTCCAAGATTAACTGCAGCACTGTTTGCGTGTGTGTCGAACACGGGGGAGGCGTGTGTCCGTGTCTGAACTAATTCACGAGGCAGAGCTGTTGCATTCACTTACTTGTTCCTGGAGGACTTTGAGTAATGCCTGTGTGTGTGACTGCTCTTCCTTTGCTTGTTCCAATTCTGACTTTTTGCTGTTTAACTCCTCCTGGATGGTCAGCAATTGCTGTGAAAAGGATATTTAGGATAAGTAGGATTGAAGGCCAATGGAATACGGTAAGATATTGAAAACAACCATTCCAAAACACGAGGGAAAGGTTTGTACGTGTCTTAAAGCTTAATCCAGACTTCAGTTGACCTTTTTGAAATGTCTGTTTCACACACACACACCCCCCGTAGTGTAACGAGTGTGCAGTTAATGCCACAGTATCAGGCTGTTTGTGACACTGATGCACGCTTGTTTCAGTGTTTGTGAAGGCACCTTTATATTCCTTTAAACAGATGCGTATCTGTAAAAATATGTAGAATAGTGGTAAGAAACTAAGACATTGACAGCTGAAGAAATTAAATCATAAAGACACTTAAAATAATGAGTCAACTTGTCCGAGGTTACATCATTTTACATATGACCCTAAAGCTAGCTTTACAGTAGCTCTGTAAAGCTGCTTCACCAGGTGGCTGGGAGCACAAAAGAGCCTTTTACCTTCTCTGTTATGATGATGATGTTTTATTAGATCAGCAGGACTGAAGTCCAAACTGCCATCAATGTATCAGTCGAGAAAACTGCTGATACAAGCTGTCAAAACACTCAGCTATGGCCTGCACCGTTGTTTTGAAGCAGGGCCACTGAACGGATTGCTGTGAAGCCTTGAGCGCTATTTGCCCTATCAACTGTAATGCATGGGAGGCTTACCTGGCCTGCCAGGAGGACGGGGCTGCCCAGAACTAATTCTTTGGAACATGGTTATGTGCTAATATATACACAGGCTGGAGAGCACATTCAAGAGCTTCAGAACAGGCCCTGGAAGCAGCTATGTCGTATTCAGAGCTTCTTGACAACAAAGGGCTAGTCTGCAAAGACGGAAGTCTGTTTCTTCTGCTCCTGCACGCTACAAGTGCTGCACTAACGATACGAGAATGTCAGTGCGTTCCTGCCACGAGGGTAGCTGTCTCCACACCAAGGCTGCGACTTCTGGGGCTGGACAAGCTGGCTGCAGAGCTGCCTGGCCAGTTCTGAACTATCAAGGCCGGAATAAACACTGGCACTGGATTCCTGACGCTTAAAGTTGCCAAGTGGAAGGATTAAATTAAATCTTCAAAACTGCTAGTTTTGCGGTACGTTCTCGGGGAGGAAGTACTCAGAAAAACACCCTGTGCCTTAACCCCTGGGCTTGCGTGTCCTGCTCCCTCGTCCGGTGCTGGCTGTAGGTTTAAGAACCTGCTTTGGTCCCCCAGCACAAACAGTGACTTCCTTGCAGTTTTCAAAACACTCAGCGCCCCTTATTTTACCACCTGCCTGTATCATACTCACATATGGTGCAATACACGCAACCCACACGGGCTCCCTTCACACGTTACGTGATTCCATTGTGCACCAACTGATAAAAGTGCAGAAACCCGGGGGCCATATTGTACTCTGGCACCATGATAAGTAATGAAAATGACCATTTCCAAACAGTGGGGAATGACCCTGTTTCTCTATTCTCATTCATGACCAGCCCCAGAACAGTTCCGAGAGGATCTGGTGCTCTGACTTCCACGATGCCGAGTGGATTCTTATGTCATTAGACAATTTCGAATCCACTCCTTAAACCTCCTTTAAAAATGAGCCAAATGAAGGACAGGAAATTGTCTTCAAACATAGGTAGCTTATGTTCACTCAACTGCAGCACTCGAAGTAGCAAAATTTAGAAACGACTGATGTCCAGCAGAGGGGGGCTGGCTACAGTAACGATGGTGCATCTGTACAATGGAACACCATGCAGCCATTAAAATGAAGTTGCACAAGTGTCTCCGGACATAGAATTAACTCATAATATACTGTTCTCCACATGAAAAGTTCAGGCTATGAGAGGGTTTCACTGAATTTTGCAAACTATTCATAGAAATGAATCTGGATACTGTCTCTGGGTGAGTGGGCTTATGGATCTTTCTTTCTGTTAGTTTTGCTTGTAATTTTCTGGTATGTCTGTAAAGGAGCAGACACTGCTTTAGTAAGAACAGCAACAAGAGCAAACAAATGGACTTAATTAAGGCTGGGGAAAGGACAAAGAAAGGAAAACCACTTGGACACAACTCTCAGCTGTTATTACCAACACTGTGAATAGGTCAGAGGGGAAGTGAGAACTCCACTGAGTCTGCCATTTCATCCACACATTTACAACACTGCTTCATGCTATTAAAACGTGCGTGCGCTCGTGTACACACACACACACACACACACACACACACCCTTCCCCTGACCTCACTTCCCATGTAAGCTTCCATCCGTTCTCACTGTTCCTTGGAATCACACTTTTTTTTTAATTTAGAAGTGTGATTCCAAGGAATCATCCCCAGTTCCTTTTCTTCTCGTATGTAGGCAACTGCTTTCAACGGTTTCTTTTTTATTTGAATGTGTTTTTCCAAAATATATACTGTTGTTTTGAGAGTATGCATTTGTATGTTAAGTGATAGTGTTCATATTTCTTGTTTACTATGTTTTTAAGATCCATGTTGATATGTATATATATCTAACTATTGCTTCTGGTGGCTGCATACTATTTTACGGGACACGTCCACCCAGTTATACCTATTCCTCTCTCCCGGTGAAAGCCACTCAGATTATCTCCAATTCTCCTCCCCCTGTATAAGGCTGTAGTGGGAGATGCTAATGCTTGTCCCTATGGCCCTGTGGGAGACTTGCCCTGGCGCACATCCAGCAGTGGAGCTGTCGGTCATGGGGCATGCCTGAGGAGTTCACTGCCAAAGCTGCATCACGGAATGGCTGTACCAGCCTACCCGCCCACCAGTGCTATAAGAGTTACTGTACCCCACACCCACACTAACACTTTGCATTATCCAACTTTCTAACCTCTGTCAGGCTAATAATATCAAGATTCTTCACCTTGGGACTTGCCTGGTGGTCGAGCGGTAAAGAATCTGTCTTCCAATGCAGGGGATGTAGGTTCGATCCCTGGGTGGGGAACTAAGATCCCACATACCATGGGGCAACTAAGCCCACCTGCCACGGCTACTGAGCTCGTGCGCCTCAACGAGAGAGCCCTGCGTGCCGCAAACTACAGAGCCCGTGAGCCACAACGAGAGAGAGAAAACCCGCATGTCACAACTAGAGAGAAGCCCGTGAGCCGCAACGGAAGATCCAGCGTGCCTCAACGAAGACCCCGCGTGCTGTAAGACCCGATGCAGCCAAATAAATAAATTAATTTATATATTTTTTAAAAAAAGATTCTTCATCATTGAAAAATCTCATACTTCTCTGACCCCCTGGGGTTTTATGCATCTCACATGTCTGCCAGCTTTTGAGGTTTACTGACACTTCTTTAAGGGAGAGTCAAGGGTAGTGGTTCTTAAATCTGGAGAACTTTTCAAACACACTTATTCCTGGGTCCCACAGAAGACCAATTAACTCAGAATATCTAGGGGACGGACCCAGGCAATAATATTTTTTAAAAAAACCTCCACAGGGCTTCCCTGGTGGCGCAGTGGTTGAGAGTCCGCCTGCCGATGCAGGGGACACGGGTTCGTGCCCCGGTCCGGGAAGATCCCACATGCCGCAGAGCGGCTGGGCCCGTGAGCCGTGGCTGCTGAGCCTGCGAATCCGGAGCCTGCGCTCCGCAGCGAGAGAGGCCCGTGTACCGCAAAAAAAAAAAAAACAAAACAACCTCCACAGATAATTTTAATATGCAGCTGGGAAGGAAAACCACTGTCTCTTTAAATGCTTATTTAATCCTGCTACAACGTTGCTTCTGTCCAGAGTACCCTACTCAGACTCTGCTCTTACTAAAGTCACTAACGCTTTTCTAACGGCCAACTAGGATGCCAGGTTCTGCTTGCCTTGGCATGTCCTCTCTCTCCAGGCGATCCTGTTCACACCCATGGCTTCAACTGCACGGGCTCGGCTCCTGCGCTCCTGCTTTTCAAAGCTGACCTCACAGCCTCCGCCCCTCCTACTGCCCACCAGACCCTTTCCCTACAGTGTTCCAAACTGTGCTTACTATGACCCCTCCCCCACAAGGCTAATTCTATTCCCCTGGTAACCAGAGTTAAAACCTTGAGGTCCATGCCCGCCCTTTCATCACGCCCACAACCTCTCTGCCCGTTCCTCTGCCTTCTCTCCAACCATCTTCACTGTCATGTTTAGGATGAGCATCTCTCTTCTGGATCTGCTTTTTCCTCCTGTCATTCACCCTACACTCCTGAGAAAATTGAATCAAAGTGCTCCTGTGCTTAAAAAATACCATCGATTCCCCGATCTCTACTGGATAAAATCCAAACCACTGGCTGTGTCGTCCTTCCCCAGACATGCTAGGTCCTTTCATGACTCTATGAAAAGCTCACTACCCAGAATTCTGCCTGGCAGATTCCTATTCATTTTTTAAGCCAACTTAAAGAATGTTTTCGGGCTGACGTCAATCCATATGATGACTTTATACGATAGAAAAGAGCCCCATCCTCTAGGCAGATAGGACCCTTCAGTAAGGCACATGGTTGGGCAGTAGAGTAGGGGCTTGATTTCAACCCCTTTCAACCCATCTGGCCTGGTGCCCTTGTCCAGGGCAAAACCTGCAGAACTATAAGCAGTGGTCTTGGTTTCTTCCTCAATAAAGACCCCCTCTGATCACCCAAGCAAAGTGAGTGGTTCTAACCTCCATGCTCCAAAAGCACTTTTATACGATATATTACATTTCATAGATATCTCCCCAACTAGCCTACATCCACCAATGGTAGGGTCAATAACTGGGTTACCTCTAACACACAGCAGGTGCTGAATGAACGAATGAGTAAAGAGGTGAATGAATGCTTGCTCTGGTTTCCCCAATTCTATGAGATTAAGCCACGATCTAGCAAAAAAACAAAAGAAAAACAAAAAAACCACACACACACACACACACACACACACACACACACACAAGCCAAAAACGAGAACAACTACCTGAGGATCTATCACTGGGTAATTTATTGTTCTAGACATATGGGTATATGAAATCTTCAGAGGAAAATAGC